CGACTGATGAGTTTGCTATTCTCTACCACATATTGACGAGGCCCAATCTGTGTATACCAGCGCATAGTATCTAAATGGCTGTGGCCTGTTCATGAGACCTCGCGTTTTTAGAACTGAAGGATGTTATTGCACAAGGTGATCGTGTCAGTTGTGAATATGGCCAACTTTACATCAAAGGATGATTTGTAGTTCACCTCATTTCTTCCCCATGTGAGTGTCTGAAATGATCGATGCTAGTCTCAAAGTAAAGACAAACAACAAATTGGGGTTAGTAAGTCCAAGCCCCTTCAAACCCCCATAAGATACTTCTCCCTAGGTTAAACCTTAGTATACCCATATTTACCACAAAATGCATAAAATCAACTAAATAGAGGGATAGAAAGAATAAGACTGTCCTGAAAATGCCAATCTCTAAAATTTCCATTGGCGTTAATATAGATAAATAGAGCACGCTCACAAACTTGAGCATTGTCTCCAGCCTGTTAGTCACATCTCTGGAACTGCAGACAACCCTCTCCCTGAATTGTGAGCTATTTAAGATTGTGTGACAAGACACACCAGATGGTCCACTAGTAGTGATGGTAGCCCCTCGATTGGCCAATACATACAAGGCCAGCAGTTTCATTGATGTGTTGGTTGACTCTGTTTCCCCCAAGAGTTGTCATCACTAACCAAAGCAAAGTGTATGTGAGAACATTTTAGTAGCTACAGCATGTCAGAAACTAATGTGCAGTATGGCATGGTATTCATGTCGTGTACACCTATCTCTGCATTCAGTGATGTGGCAAACTAATTTATTGGTTCTGTCCAGACTTTGAATTGATACTTGTTGGGATCTGCTATTTGGTGCCATTGAACCTGCTTCGAGTCTGCAATAGTGTTGTGGATTCTCAAGACGTTCCTTTCACTTGAGATGGATATCATGCTGTACACAAAAAGACAATGTTGAATGGGTCTGATGTGCTGTTGGACACACTACTGAGGAGAGTATCACAAGTTGTGCAGTGTGGAAGACATAAGATGGGAGTAGAATGGAGGTTTGTTGTAGATGCACAAGGTCACGTTGCGAGTCACAATTGGGTCATTGCGGTGTAGTAATACAAATTGCGTGCTTGATTGGTAACTCATCGGAAAGTAGACAAGAAGACCAAATGGCTATATCCAACAATTCAAACAGTATGAGATGAGACAGGGCACATTTAAAATCCAAGAGTCAAGTATTTAAAGCGGGGGAGTCGTCACCTGCGTGCGTCCGGTGGCCATAGCGTACCTATGAGCATTTGCGTTCTTAGCGTGTGTTATCATCGGTTGGGACTCAATTCCCGCGCGTGCGCGGGTGACGACCCTCCCGCTTTAAAAGACTCCTTGTCACATTGATTTGGGTGCTGGCTTGTACGAGTGTTTGTCCCAATAAGTCAGTGCCTCTAGCGACGAATTTCTTATATGATGTTATGATGTGTAGTTGATGTCATTAAATCCCGTCCCCCGCCATTTTTTTTATTGACGCTGGACGTGATTTTAAACGAATATCTACACTGCTCCGCAACGGCCTCACGACCTTTACACATTTACGTCACAGGGTCGCTTTGACGCCAAAAGTCTCTACATCTATACGTGAAATGCATCATTTAGATGTATTAGTAAATTGAAATAATGAAAGAACTATACCTTAAATTTGTCAGTGTAATTTTAGTAAAAACCAACTGCTTTAAAGTGAATGACTTACTCTGAGCGAATACTCTCAGCTGGGTCAACTTGAAAGTACCTGCGTGGAATTAGCTTTATATTCATCTCATGTGCTTCATGTTTGGGACATTCAACTCTTGTGATTTGAAAACAATACTAAACCATTTCTATAAATGTGTTTGAACATAGACCTTAGAAAACACTAGAGACGAAGATCTTCAGTTTCGTAAACAGATTGGGGGGGGGGGCAGAAAAACAACTTATTCGACATAAATGTATGTACTAGTATTTTGCCTATTTTTTTCATTTCACGAGAATAATTCAAATGTCTGGTTATAACGAGGAAGTTTCTCGTTTTTGTTTCCTTGGCAATGATGAAAAACCTCATAAGTATTACGATATACAATGTACCACCATGCACCAGGGCAATATACTCTGTCGTCTCATAGGCTTATCTCCGCTCCGCTTGTGTTTACCCCCTATGGCGGAAATAATCGTTATGCCGGCGATGTTGTAAAAAACGAGAATGTAATTTTCCTCTACGTTATGCCACAGTCTTTTGAGGACAAGAGTCGTTGTCATTTTGCTGCACATGTATTGTCGGTGTTGTGACCGAGACAACAAGACGCATACACTGTTATAGCTGTCATGAATTAGTTTTCGCGTATCTGTTAACCGACTTAATTAGTTGATTATTAGCGAATTGATGTCTTATGTCTGTCATCGTTTAGGTCTATTTGAAGTTTTGGACGGAACTTGGCTCAGTGATTTGGAACTAATTACCAGATATCCGTCGCTATTCTGACTATCGATTTTGACAGTTGGTATCCATAGTTATTAATGTAGTGAACGATTAATCAAAAGATATAACGTATTCAGTACTTAGTGTGATTGGCTTTATGATTGAAAGTTACGCCTTAGAGTCTTGTTATTGCTTTGTAATTGGTTAGAGTTTTGAAAATGAATAAAGAGAGTTTGAGTTGGTCTTGGCAAGTACTCTAGGATAGACGGAGTCGAGAGTGCAGTCCTGGAGAGCCTTGGGGCGAGTCTAAGCACAGTCTTGGGCGAGTCTTGGGTCAGCCTTGTGAAAGTCTTGGGGATTTTTTCCCCAGGGCGCTGTGTCTTATAGAGTGCTCGATTGACCGACTAAGACGAGAGCTGAAACGTATTCCATTGTGTGTGTCTTATTTGACTGTAAAGTATAAGTGACTTTCCCGATCCCGTACCTCAAGGGGACGAGATATAGAGACGAGACAGACGAAGCAAATTACCTTCCCGGACCCAAAACGCCGCGAAACCACGGATAACACTGTTACTGCATTGCACACATTACAGTTATAGTGACAGAATCCATACGTAATTGTGACGTCACATATACCGTATATATAATATGAACATGTTCAAGGAATTGAACAGGAAATTGGGAGCCGGCGGACATCCGTTGTAGCTCCATTGAAATATCGATGTGTTAAACTGGACTATACAGCGTCGTAGGTGAAGTGAAATGCCAATCATTTTTCTATAAGTATCTAATTTTTTTTTTCATAACCATCAAAATCACGATAATTTGTTTACAGGGACAGTGGTACATATAATCTTATCTAAATTTTAAGACAGGCATTCTGCGTTTTGAAATTAATACATTCGTCTATTCAAAATACAGCCTCGCTTAGCGCTTACTTAGTCTGTATAGAGTGTGCATGCGTGTCACCAACACGTGGAATCATAATAATAATAACTGTTGTAATAATAACTGTTTATGTCCACTCGTGTAACTAAAATGTTATTTAGTTCCATTATCACCCTGTGTTCTTCATGTCGGAGTTGTGTGCATCTGTGAGTTGTTACGATTGAACGCTACTGTATCACGCCACGCATGCGCGAGATATATGGTCTCATATAAACAAAAATGGCAACTTCATTTGACTGTTGCGCAGATCAACGAGTAAAAACTGAGATTACCGAGCTTTAATGGGGTATTTTTAGGTGATTGGAAAGTATCGAAGGAGTCACCGGCGGTAATTAGTGCAAGTCGCGCCCAGGTCAAACCTCATACTTGTTATTTTCAATGTTTTCAACTTTTTCAATGTTCATTAACACAAATATCGCACTTGCGCAGCGTGACGTCCACCGCCCTTTAACTTACATCTCTCATTTAAGTTATTGGTAACTCGTATGGGTGAAACCAAGGGTACAATCCTCGCCTATCTCGCCCGTGAATGCAACCAAAGACGAACCAATTGTCTTTGACGGGATCTTCATCACTGGAATCATCATACTCGTAATGTCCTTTAATAAGCCATTTTCCGTAGTTTGCGTGACACCATTCATGGCAATTTACGCACAATTACATGGCTCGAGCTTCGTTATCTGGAGGGCACCAAATTTCAAGATCAAAATGTTTAAAAAATTCATTATTAAACTGTATGATTGAAACTAATGTGAAGGACATATTTGAATAAGAACATCATCAGTTAAGTAGTGATTTTCGAGCTCTTTGAACTTGAAATTAAAAGGTAATTCGGTAATAGTTCCTCGGGGCTCTCACCCATGACTCTAATTTTAAGCAGTGTCCCCTCTTATGTTAATTGTACATTTCCCTCTTCAGGACACGTGTACAAATTAGGGCGAGTATTAGGGTTTAGGTAGGGGCCTTAAGGAACTCTTTCAAACATATAATTGAGAAATTCGGATTTATTGCGAATTGGTAGCCTAGGGTAATTAAGCTGTGATAACAGTGTGAAATAAATTGACATTGACACAAGGCCGATAAAACAATTTCTTTGAACAATACGCGCTACTGGTACTACGCTCAGCAATCACCATGGCAATGGCTATTTTTGTATGATAATTACTTCTGAGGTTGCTCAATACAGTTCCACGAAAGTCGTTGGATTTAGATTAGAATAGATTGCGTTTTGCTAAACAAGTTCATATGTAAGGAAAATTAGGATCACGGATCATTTTTTTTGAGATATGCGTTATGTTAACTGTATGTGAATTACGGAGTTACGAGTAATACATCGGGATGTATGGAGAAAAAGTAAAGTAAGACCCGGTAAATAATCTTCTTCTTTTTTTAAGTTCGAGAATGAAATTATGTCCCTGGAACAACATTTTGAAAAATCAAAAAGGGGGTACGTGACGCGAAATGTCCGCGACTAGTCTGTTCTGCCACGCCCTCTATAGTTGTGACCACGTGTTCGAGATGATTATATGCTAATGAGAAGTGCGTATTTCCTTGAAAACTAAACTGTCAGTGTTCAGTAAGTTTTGGATATCCATTTAATTGAATAACATTTCTTGAAAATTAGTTTATTGGATAGTTTTTAGTTCAAATTATTGAAGGAAGGAAAAAGCGTTTTCTGGTCAAGGTATTTAGGCATCCGTGTTTACACAACAATTTCAGTACAGGAAGCCAGATACAACCAGTTAGTGCCCGGAACTCTCGTCGCACGGCGTAACAAATATTTGCTACAAAATAAACTGAAAAGCGCAGTTTAAGACATTTTAAATACTTTGTTTAATGTGTGCGAAAATAGAGATTATCGCGTATTGGAAACAACTAACGCGTAAACGTCACACGAGACGACGTATAACAATACTTTTGGTGACATAAAAACAAAACGAAGTCGTTGGGTTGACAACAAATTCAATGTACTCGTAGAGGGCAATATATACGGTTTTCCTCAAAATGTGTAATGACGTCATGCTGCCACGAGTTGAGGGCAAATCACGCCACGGAATATCCTTGCGCTTCATAATGTAGTTTCACGACGTATGTATAATAACGCGATTTTTTAAAATATTATTTCAAGTTAAATTCAGAAGTCACTTAGTCATCTCATATTTGATTTTTTAAATACGAATTATGGTGCCAAGATGATTCTAGTTTTCGCGAAGGTATTTTTATTATCTAACTAGGTTGTCAGTCCCCGGTGTCCGCCATTTTGGATTCATGCTCTTTGGATTCGTTCGATTCTCAAACCGATCTTGACGATATTATATCCTGATTTTTTACCAAATATAATAAGGTAAGAGACTTACTATCGGTAGGTGTAGTCATATGAGCCATTACGCTGCTTGGCTTTGCCAGTGTGCGTTCACTGCAGCCGGTTTTGGTCCTTTTTAAGGCTACGCAAAGTGTGTGGTCGAATAGACTAAACAGGTTTTTCGAGGGATGATCCCACAGAGAAGTGGAAATATTATTATCTCTACGTTTCGATCTTTGTACATACGGTGAAAAATGTATTTTATGACATATCATTCTACCACCTTAATCAAAATGTTATGATTTTATGTGTTAAAATTCAGTATGTTTGCATCGACATCACAGTACCAATAGACGTGGTCATGCTTGATAATGATAATATATTCGATATATTGTATTTATGGGGGATCATCGTTTTGGTACACGTGATTCAACGAAATTTACATCTATCCGTATATATCTGATAATATATACGTTGATTAAAAACACATATATTCCCTATGTACACTTGTTATCATGTTGGCGAGGGTAACCCTTGCTACCAAATATGCGGAAATGCGGCGACTCCCTATCTGGAGTGTGGGAGTGACTGTCGCACGTTTGGGTACAGCATGTAATATATTCGTGGTGTGGCGTGTTTGTTTGTTTTAGAATAATTAACAATTGTGGTCCTGGGTGTTAATATGCTAGTAGTTTGTATCTTATTATTTTGATAACCGTGGAGTTTATTGTAGTTATTGGGTTAATGAATGGCTATTCTTCTGTTGAGATTGAGATTATTTTTTTAAGTGTACAAAATATCTCAAGATGAGTTAGTAAAAATTACAACATATATAGGAAGAGTTTGTCATTTCTTGTTTTCTGTCTCAATTATCACATTTACTGACACTCAAAATCCAGATAGCTGACAGAATGGGTGTATATGTTTCATCACAGGAATTACTGTGGTTCCCATCTATCTGCGATATTATATAAAACCCCATGTTTATAAAAAAAACGGGTCAACTTATTTTGAGGATTTTGACACTGCACTCTCAAACCAACCGATGTTCAACCATCTGTTTGCTTATTATTAAAGATTGTTACGCAGATATACAAGAACCACTGTGTCATAGTTAAGGAAATGTTCAAATGCATTGTAATAAAAGTAGCAGGATTCTTGACCAGGTTTGAAAGAAATGACATTATGACCAGCAAGTATTCCAACGCATTATAAATTTAACACCCATGTTATGATTTCAATGCTGAAATCAAAGTAATTCGTGTAAGGTATCTGCATTTCTATTATATCAGTTATAATTTGAATCATATTTGTCAGTGTCAATCACAGCTGTTATCTGGTGTGATTGATTATTGATTGGTGATCTTGCTCTAGTATTGTCATTTCTATTGATCTAGGTCCATTATTCTTTGCATTTCACTGACATTTGTACGTTAGGCCCAGAATTTTTTTTATAGTTCCCTGCTATAATTTGATATGTAGAAAGTGTACAACGTCATTCTGTGGTTTGAAGCCCGTTTTGAAGTAACTGCTCAATAACTGTTTTATCCTGGTCTGCAGTTGTGCTTTTCAAAACAGTAGAAATGGTGGCCATTTTTCACATTTGTAGGAATATTTTTTTTTTTAAATAATTTGTTTGACAGTGGACTTTCTAAGTGACAATATACATGTATACACATTTTGGCATTGTGTCAAGTCAAAGTTCATTTTATTAATCTGTTTTTTTATATAATATTTGAATTCAACAAAAAGACAGTTGTTGATACTGTGAAAACAAGCCATACCAATAAATCTTCTAGCAAACTGAGTTTATTAACTACTGCACATTGAAAACACAAAACATTCAGTGTTTTCAAACACAGATAGCTTTACAATTCTAATAATAGTGACTGTTGCCCCACATGCACATAAAAGGTACATATGTTTTGGTAGTCCAAGGACAAGATATGGTAGTCTATGCCTTGGGCTACTGATAATGCAAGACCTGTTATATTATTATTGTATAAATTGTTTATACATTTATGTACCAATTTTATTGTCATGGTATAAACAGTGGATGGTGATTGGGATAAATGGTGAACAAAGTCTTTGCATCAATTTTTAATGGAAATGATTGAGTTTGCTGGTGTGGTGTGGCGGTGTTGTGGTGATGAGGTAATGTTGGTTGGGTGTATTGCTAGTCAGAAGTCCCTTTGAGTGAAAAAGTCCCCAGTTTCTTGTAACCATGGCAAAATTGACAGTTTTTCATTCTCATCCTTGTTCATTGATGTTATTGTTAGTTTTCTTTTCATCAATGTCTACTGAATGAAGCAATTTTTATTATTTTTTTTCAAAATGAAATTGAAATCTGTGATCGTAATCATCACAACAGTTGTGCAAGCTTGAATGCATAATTTTGAAATTTTTGTCTATTTATTTCTTTGTTAGAAATATTCTGTAATCATTGTACCTCATACTATCATATCAGTGCGGATGTGCAAGCTAAATGCATAATTTTGCATATTTATGTAAAAAAAAATTCATTCTGTCTGAAATACTGATGTTGAGATTAGGGATTACAATTGACATGGTACCGTAGATACTATCTGTGTTATTTTTTTGGGTTCCCTTGGTCATTGTTATTATAGTGTTTAACCCTTTATATTAGCTCTGTTCGTAAACTTTGCTGATATTTTTATTTCATATTTGATCCAAATCCAAGAGAAAGAAATGTTTGTTTTTAAATTCAAAATACTCATACACATGTGTAAGTATAGCAAGCATGTAAATACTTGACCTCATTGTTCACAGTGCTACTACTAATACGTAGTAAAAAAAAAAAACGTTTCACAATTGCTTGTGTTCAATAAATCACTAGCCTAGACAATCTACTTTGTCTGTTTCTGATGAAACTAATTCTTAGAAAATGTGATTTTGTTTTCCGTTAATGCAAAAATAATTCAATTTTAAATTATTTCTGATCCATTATTTTTACTCATTGGAGGGAATATTGACCTTCATTCAGTATAATGCATCTGCCATGTGCAGTAGACGGGTGGAGCGATTCTAATTTACCTTATTGAATGGAATTGATTTCTTGTGCTGGGTTGCTTGTTTATTTCTTTTTTCATTCACACATTAAGTAAAAATGTATTTAATATTATTACTTTTCCTGGCATGCAATATGCAATTGCTAAACCCTGTACGTAAAACAAGCCTCGAAGAATTATCACAATTTCAGTAATTCTCTTAGGGTAAGGTGAGATTGAGGGTTTGTTTGATTCAACTCCTTAGTTCTAGACGTCATATCTATAACTCCCTCATCTCCTTGGTGGCCATGGTACATGTTCAACAAACTTGAATAAGTATAGCACTTGAAGAATAGTTGGTGTCTGTGGGTGTGGTTATTTAGTCTACCTATCTTCTTCCTCCTTTTACCCTCAAATCGTGGTGACTCACCCTCCTACACCCCCATCCCTCTAATTGCATGCATGCTGTTTTAGCTGGCTTTAATTGGGAATTTTGTTTACCCAGTCATTGTAAAACGTACTCTATACTTACTGCATGTTGTTGTTTTTTTTGCATGTGTTTCTTTTGCAGTACTTGATCATCCCTGCTCTTGTAGTACTGTATACGTGAACGGTAACATAGTCTCTTCTACTGGTCGTTGTTGTTCTTATATGTATGTATATATATAATACATGATTCAACATGTCCGTGTTGCAAGCTATAGAAGAAAAAGTCAAAGCAGTTGAGGAAAAGGTAAAAATGTCTCCTAAGTTAACCCACTTACCCAGTCATACACTGCCACTAGGGAATGTTTTTAGTTTGCGTGTGTGTGTTTCAGTGTTCTAACCGAATCTTAAAACTACAGTGTACGTGTGGTTAACAGCAATTCTCCCCTCCTCCTATAACGATTTAAAATTTCCCATGATAAGATTTATTCATATATATGTGGATGTACGCTAATAAAATTGCTGTTCATTACAGTTATAATGAAAATAAATAAATAGTTAAATCTCCCAAGATGCATTGCCCAGAGAATTACTAAACCACCCTGGAAATTTATTACGTGATTTGTCTATCTTTGCAACATATACGAAAGTATTGCAAATTTATACTTCGTTGCAGTTAACTATTAATGTCATATGAGATGGACTATCGTTTTCCAAAGTAAAAGTTTGATATCATCATTAGTCGCTGCTGTCGTCTTTGGAAATGCACACCACGTAATGCTCCTCGGTAATGGATACTGCATACCATGCAAATAAAATTACTGCTACCCTCGTCTGCTGTGAATTTTCTCTGGTTGTCTTGGAAATACAGCAGTTAATTACCATGTGACCTTTGTTAATTGAATCTCAGTTAGATAAACTGTCATGCCCTGTTAAAAGTTGACTGCATACAAAAAAAATGCACAACGATGTATCTAGTTGCAGTGTTCCACTGGGCTATTTTGTTATTATTATTAAATTTGCATTATATCATTGAGATTGTTGATCTATCGCATCATCAGTTTTATGCGCACTAGTTAAAGGGGAGGTGGCTTCGTTGTAGTTTGGCTAGGTGACATACCCCAAATTAGTCGGTGATAATATCATTTTACTTCATGTAGATTAGTATGTGAGTGCAAATTGATAGCAGTATTCACTAGCAATCGCCTCTTGATACAATACTTGCATGGTGAGACTTGTAGTCAGTTACTTGATTTCTCACTCACTGTCAAATTATTTATTGTGATTACTACGATACAAATTGCAATACAAATTACCTATTGTGATTACTACGATACAAATTGCAATACAAATTATCTATTGTGGTTACTACGATACAAATTGCAATACAAATTACCTATTGTGATTACTACGATACAAATTATCTATTGTGATTACTACGATACAAATTACCTATTGTGATTACTACGATACAAATTGCAATACAAATTACCTATTGCGATTACTACGATACAAATTGCAATACAAATTACCTATTGCGATTACTACGATACAAATTGCAATACAAATTACCTATTGTGATTACTACGATACAATTGCAATACAAATTACCTATTGCGATTACTACGATACAAATTTG